AATTACACATGGATTGCAAAGGCTATTGTTACATATTCAAGAAAATGGGGATGTCTACTTTCTATTATTTCTATAATAAGGCAAAGGACAAGAGATATGTAAGGCATAATTCACAACTAAGAAATGATTTATAATTTATTTTCTCTTTATGTGAACTTTATTGATTCTCATGCATTTTGAACAGGGCTGGGCCTTGGAGTCAGACCAAGGCTGATCTCATTTTTCATTTAAAATTAAAATGAAGTAATAGGAAGGGTGAACTACAATACAAGGACAGATGAAAAACGGGATTTGGATCTGACTTCTATAGGTATAGGTTGTAGCTGTGTTGGTATAAGGCAGGGCTTGTCAACCAGGGGTTCGCATACCCCCAGGGGTACGTGAGAAGGCCCTAAGGGGTACGCACAGGTGGGCAGGGATGGAGCATCACCACGTAGCATCCTGCATTGCCATACAGGCGCTGCCCGCCCAGCCAGATGCGGGAGGTGGGGGAAGCTCGCATTTAGCGGCTGCGCACCACCCTCCCCACCTTCCTGGCCTGCCTCAGCCGCCAGGCGAACACTGCTTCACGTCTGGCTGCTGGGGGTACATTGATCCAAAAAGGTTGAAAACCCCTGGTCTAAGGACATGGGCAGACAAGGTTCTTTGGGTAAATCCAATATCTTTTATTAATCTTTTATTTTAGTTGGCCTAATAAAAGATATTGGATTTGCCCAAAGAACCTTGTCTGATCTGACTTCTCAGGATTTAGAACTGAAAATTTAGATGTACCTATCCCAGAAGTAGAAACAATGGTTAGCCACAAAAGGTTGACTAGAACCCAGTATTGGCTTCTAGACCCCTAGGATATTTGGTAGTATTTACATCTAAAGGTTTGGTTAGAAGGTTTTTTTCTAACAGGATTCCACTTTGTAGGCAAAACAGGGGAGATGGGCAAATTCATCATCTCAGGGTACATTGGTCACATTATGAGATCACGGAGCCAGGGCAGAGAGGATTCTGGCCACCTATGCATCCTTTGCCACCTTCAGTCTTCACAACATATTTCATGCAGTTCCTCATTTGGGGGAACAGGCCATGTAATTCTGCCCTGAAGCTCTAGCTAAAGTATTAAGGAAGATTTGTACAGTGCTGGAGGGAGATTGAGGATCTAACAGAGCCAGAATGCTGCACAGCTCTAAATAGCCAGTGCTTCTAGGACTCTATGTGCTCAACAGTGCCGCAGTACCTTGCCCAATGCAATGTCCAGAACAGAGGCCCCTAGTCAGAGGAATATTCACGTTAAAGAGAACAAAGGATGCCCTCTTTACTAAGCCCAGTTTCCTCACTCTGACCATGGGTCTGAAGAGTGAAGGAAGGAGCACATGAGACCTGCAAGGCAGAATCAGCTGTGCAGACAGTGGGGAGAGAAGGATTAGATCTGGCATTGGAAAGAAAACAGAGACATAAAATGTTCTAAGTGGACTCCTGCTTCTTGTGGGAGGGTTATCAGATACGTAAATGCAGAATGTAAGCTAGGTTTAAGCCCCTTCTTTCTCCTGTTCCCTACCCCAAAAATGTCTTTTCTTTAGTTTTGTGTCAGGTATCAACTTCCAAACCTATAATCCACTGTCTGGTATTATCACTCAACATGCAGATTCCATCTACCCCATCTGAGCAGTTGCAAAAATCGAAGCTTTCAATGAAGTGCTGTGCTGTTTGTTGGATGCCACGTTCACACAGGGGGCTGTCCAAGATGTTCACCTTGTACAGTGCTGTTTTGAAGTGCCCGTATCCAGATCTCAGTCTGTTCAGTTTGACCCAACTTCTCTGTCAAGGTTGTGTCCAATGGGGGGTCTTGTTTGGTGTTGGTATAAAATGCTGTAGGAAAAGAACTGACTTTTTCAGCAGTCAGCCCACTCCATTGCTGCCCATAGGTCTAGCTCAGCATCCCCAATCTCTTCCAGGAGCTTGTGGGCTTCATATACAAACAATTTATGACTTTTAAACTTCTTAAGTCTCCATCTGTTCAAGTCGTCATTTAATAGTTGATGGAGCAGGTGATTTCCATCATCTTTTGTTTCTGTTGCCAGTAATGATGTTAGGGTCTGTCTTCTTACAGCACTTGATCTAATGCCCAAGAGTACAGGGAATACATCTGAGTGTGTGTAAGTTGTACAGCCTGTTATGAGTCTTGGTGCACTGTTAAGTATGATGTACAGTGTTGAACTTTTTTAGTGCAACTACTTCTGGACAATATAGGAGCACAATATTTTGCTGGGACATACACCATTGCAAGTGTGGTTCTGAGCACTTTGAAGTTGGCATGCCATGTTGTGCTGGCTAAACATTTTAAGGCAGAGACTTTGCAGAGACTTTGCTGTTGACCTTCTGAATGTGATGTTTATAGGTGAGGGAATGGTCTAATGTGACTCCTAAGTAGACTGGAGTATGCTCATGAGGAAGGATGTGGTTGTTTACTCTTGTATTCAGCACATTCATGGCTCTATGATTGTCCAGGTGGAATAGTGAAGATACTGATTTATTGATGCTCAACTTAAAGTGTCATTTGTGGAATAGCCAGTGATGAGTTCCATGTTAGTACTCAGTGCATTTCTCAAAAGCTAACCGGTAGGCATGACCCACATAGCATCTCTGCTCTGACATGTCTTCCTTGTCTCTGCTCAGGTCAAGTCAGTGAGTGCTGACATTACTTGGAATTAAACAAGTGGCTCACTAGGTAGGTGAGATGTAATTAGGCCATGAAGACAGGCAGGATACAAATCAGCAGCTTTGCTCACAGCAAATGGTAGAAGCAGCAGGATCAAGAGAGCACACAGAGCTGTGATTAGAGAACATGTGCATAATTTCACATACACAAACTTTAATAACAGCAGCAGCAGACAGAGACAAAACAATTCTACAACCATGTCCTCAAGCAGGAAGCCATTAAGCATGTGAGTGTGACATGTGCAAGAAAGCCAAAGGATTGCATACAAGCTGGCCTGACTGGCTAAATATGATGTACAGCACAACTAGAGAAACTCTGTCCCTCATGCTCTTCCCTGCATGGTCACCAAGAAGAACCCCAGAGCTATGGTAACCATTGATCATGAGTATGAAACAGTCACCAGCTATTAAATAATTATTTGCCCTTATACAATTCTTCCCATTCACAGATCTCAAGTTATCAACTCCATTCTATAGGTAGAAAAACCAAGGCAGGGAGAGGTTAACTGACTTGCTCAGTAGCTCACAGCAAACTAATGACAGTTTGAATTGGAGAGCAGGTCTTCTGCCTGCAAGCATTATGCTCCTTTCACTAGACTGCAGCTGTCTCCCACAGGGTGCTGACAGAGGGAACATTTGTTGCATGATGGGCCCCTTGAAAGCACTCTAAAGCCATGCCCTGACAGAAGTGTATGGCTGCAGACCGCTTTAAAAGTACCTGATTGCACAACAAATTAACCCTCATTATATAAGTGTTCAGATGAAGGCACTCCAAAACAGAACCTTCATTAATTTCTGTCTCTCCCTGCTATGATTGGGGCTGGGCTAGTGCAGCCCAGCCCCATCCTCAGTGCTGTCTGAAGGATGAGAGGGGGAGAAGGGAAGAAAGGGAGCTCTGGGCTGGGGTTTGCTCAGCCTGAGCTGGAGGGGGGTGGCAGTATTGGAGCCTCTCCACTTGCCCCTCCTCCAGCTCAGGCTTAGCAAACCCCAGCTCCGAGCTCCCTCCCCTCCCTTCTCCCCCTTCCATCCTGCAGACAGCACTGGAGCTAGAAGAGGGTGGGGCAGAGCTAGGGGAGATAGGCTGCAGACAGGCAGCCTCTCTCTGCTGGACTGGCTCCAAAATGGGCCTCAATACCCCCCTCCCCCCGACCAAACAGTGAATGCCTATTGAGTTTGGGGGAGGGGGTCACTGTAACTCATGGCACTTTCTATAAAGTGCCATGAGTTACACTGGGGAGCTGCACATCTGTCAGTGCCCACAGAGCCTAGCATAATGCTTGTTTTCATTGTGATGGCCCCCAAAGCTGCTTTTACTTGCATGCATACTCTCTTCCTTCCCCAGTTTCCCAGTTTGCTGAAGATATAAACCTCCATGTGACTAAAGGAATGGATAAAAAGCATACAAAGAAGTCCAGGTGTCTGAGAGAAGCAGAATTGTCAGTCTGTTCAGTGCCCAGACACAGAACACGCTCCAGAATTGTGGCCTTTGAGATACTATGTGAATTGTACGGCGAGGCAACAGTGTACATTTCTTGATGATTATGTTGTGTACTGCTGAAGTGAAATCAGTCTTGCTTATTGTCATCTTCTGACACTATGTAAAGCAGTTTGCTTCCGTGCAGCACAGAAAATGCTAATACAGAATTAAAAAGAAAAAAACCCCACCCTAATGGCTTTTATTGTATTTAAGGCCATTATTAGGAAGTTAAGTTTGCCCAAATGTGCAAACACACAGGAGCTGCACTTTCATGGTAGTATGGCTGACATTTGCCCTCCCCACTTAGACTCTGCCAGCAAAGTTCTCTTAGGCAAACACATTCAAATGATTATTAAGGAGCAACCTAATAAGTAAAGGGCTTTTTGTCCCCCCATTACTGCTCCTTTCATTCCTCACACAGATTCTCTCATTAATATTTTAAAGAATGCAGACACTTAAAAAATAAATGTTTACCTCTAGCTTTTGTTTTTTGATTAGTGACAACTGAGTGGATTTTTCTGCTACAGTTACAGTTTATGACAGCAAAATTATTGAACCATGACACTTTTACATGCATATATTTTATTCTGGGTTTTTCATCAATAAACACGTCATTTTGAATTTCTCCCTAATTACAACAGGCCTTGAACATTAGCAGATAATTCATGGTTTGCTTTGAGGAAAGATAATGGCCTTTGACTGGAAAGCTTAATGTTGATATAAGTCAAATGGACATTTCAATTAAAAATAATGGCATTCACTTAGTTACTCCCCCTGTATATGAGAAGCCATTACTGTACCTGTGTTTACTTACCCACAATTCCCAATGCAATGTAACCCAAAATGACGACTATGAAGATTACACAGCATAGGACATCTGTACAATGCCTAAAGACAAAAAAATAATAATCAGAAAGGTATCCAATATGACTCCTCCTTTGTAAACACTGAGATCCAGAGTAAATTAAACTTTTGAACATACTTCCAGCACAGCCTGCACATTGCATACCTTTTGCTGCTATTACACCACTAAAGTCCATGAGTCATTGGTAGTACCAGGTTTTTCACAGAGCATCAGAATCTGCTGCTAAGAGTTGCATAAGCAATTTACAAATTGGAGGTGAAAATAAACCCCTGCTGCTTGTATGAGATATAACCATGGAAGGATTCCAGATTTGGAAAAGGGAGTGTGCAACAGATGCCCCAGGTGCTGCCCCTTGGCCCATGAGGATATAGGGACCAGGCATGGCTGCAACTCTCAGGCCAGTGAAGGACACCAGAAGGAGGGGAGGCTGGGTAGGGAGTAGGGACTGGAAGGACAGACCTGCCCACCCTGGCTGTGGCTGCTGCTGTCTCCAAAGGAGTCTGGCATCCACACAACCTGCAGCTGGCATGGTGCAGAAGCAGCTCAAGGGCTTCTCTGTTCAGTAGGGTATAGTGGAGGGCGAGTCCCTCCTTCCTTGCACCTGCTCCCTGATTGACCCCTCAGCATCTCTCCTATAATCTGAGGGCACCAGCTGTGGCAAGTGGCTGCATTGGGTGCTGGGCTCAGCTGAGAACAGCCTCAAGCTCCAGTATCCCCTGCCAGGTGGGAGCAGAGGAAAGAAGAGCAAACCCACCCACCACTGCTGCTGCCCCAACTGAGCTGTGCATCTGCCTAACTACTCCCCAAAGCATCCAGTTGGAGCAGGGTAGGAATGGCCCTGGAGCCCCACCCCCCATATCTCCATATCAGTCAGGGACAGAGGCGGGGCAGATGGGTTTGCCCTTCCCGCACTTGCTCCCTGCCCTTCCCTCCTGTGTGTGCCTGCCAGCCTGGGGGCTCTAGCAGCATCTCCAGGGTCCACCTCAGCAGGGCAGTGTTGGCTGACATGGCTTGAGCTTCCTGCATGCCAGCTGCTGCTGCTGTGGAGTGGTTGTGGGCTCTAGCTCCTGCCACTGGGGCACAGGCACTCTGTACCCTGCTTGCAGGACCCCTACCCACTACGGGATCTTAGAGATCCCAGTCCCAGTGGTTCATTTCTTCTGGAGATCTGAAAACATTTTACAGCAGTGCACTACCACCAGCAAAGAAGGATGGCTCTTGGATCCCAGTCCCAAGTCCTATTTATGGAATGACGATCTAAAAATCAGGATGCCGCCTGATAGCCTTCCAAAACAGGTTATCTTCTTCTAATATATTTGATACACTATACTACCCGGAATCTATCAAACACCATGATCATGTAAACAGCTTTTATCCCTACAGAAATCTTACATTCTTGACTGTCTGCCCAGCAGATAAATGACAGTGTATTGCAGTTATTAGGAAAGCTTTAGTCTGAAGATTTACACCTTATATTGTGTCGCAAAATTCCATTAATAAGTAATGGATGGAAATGAGGTCACTTGCTTCCTTTGCTTAGCACCAACAAACCATTAAGCCTTTTAAACATAAGGCTAACATCTGTTTCTCACTAATTCTGACATGTTTTACTCAGGATGAGTTTCTCTTCCCATCACAGAAGTTAAGTGGTGCAATGTTTAATAAAAGACGCCTCAGGTAAAGAGACTAAAGGAAGGAGCACTAGAACACAGCAGTACTTTAACTGGAAGTCTTGTATTCGTTAATCCCTTTCTACGCAGACACCTAATGCTCTCATTTTATGATGATCATGTAAGATTACATGCATGTAAATGCCACGTGCATTTAGGTTAGGTCATCCTTTAGAGTTCTGTACAACCACAACATATGTGAGTACCCATAAAACACCATCCCAGGTTCTGTTCTGTATAAGGCATACAACTTTGTACTGTACTTAGAGTACTGTACTTGTACTGCGTTTGTGTGTGCTGCTGTGATAAACATATCAAATAATTATAACAATTGAAACTAACAATTATTTGATGCATGTTTTAGAGCTTTTTAAGCCAATTTCTTGCACCATTCTATATATACAATCTTAGTTACCAGGGGTGAAATCCATTAAGTCGACAGCAAAACTCTGGATGATATCAATTGGGGCCCCAAATACAAGGCTCGACATGAAGAAAAAATTGAAAAATCAGCTCAACAGATGGTCTAAGGTAACTTTTTATTAACAATATAAGGTCACTGGGAGTTTCCAAACCTGCAGTAATAGTGGTAGTAATCACTAGTTTCCAAAAGGATGAAATTCCCAAATAGAGCCCCGATGAGTCATGAAAGGCTGGGAGTTTACATTCTTTGTTGAAACCAGAGCTAAACATTGCTGAACAGATGAAAACGTCCTGGTGACAAATTGATTTTACTGCTACAGCGGTTTTCAAGACAAGAAGATTGTGTGAAACCACAAAAGGGTCTGGGACATTAGAATACATCCTAAAGGAGATGGATTAGTAGGCACAGTTTGAGTGAAATAGTTAACAATAAATGTAATTTATCATATAGCAGCTGCAATATTTCACCTGGATATCACTGCTACATGTTTATATAATATTTATGTACATGCCCACACATGACAAAGAGACTCACCATCTTTATGGTATACTTGATGTAAATAGTGCAAAAGAAGAAACAAATATTTTTCTTACAAAAAAATCAAATTTAATTTTTTTCTCAATGACAATGACTGCATGGACAGCAGTGTACAGTAACACAGGATGAAAATACACCTAGACAATGCTTAAAATGACCTTGTATCAGGCATTAAAATGCAACAGGCAGCACGTATCTAGCTGAAAGCTCGCTGGAATTTGAAATTTGCAATATTCTTTTGCTTTTTTTCACAGACTAGCTGCAACTCAGGATCTGGCCCAAATGCTGTCATCCTAACTATTCTATTTCAACATTGCTGTTTCCATAGAGATAAATCATGGATAAGACCATCAGATTTGTCTTTTCCAGGTGAAGTCATAAAGGACCTTCATTTGATAAGTGCACATTTCAGGCTCCCATGCCAGATTTTATTGCCTACTGCTGTCATTCTGCTTAGTTTATGGGAACTGTTTTGCTTTCTACCACCTTTCAAAAATGGATTAGCTTATTGCTGTTCTTGCTTCACTACATATGGCAATGTAACAAGAAAATAGTTTGTTCCTGAGCCTTCACAGAAGTTAGTAAAGCATCTAGCACATTTGGGGTGCTAAGGGAACACAATTAATAATGATAAAAATTAAAGTATTGAGTATCAAAAAGTACTGATCATTAACAAACTGTGCACTTTTGAGTTAATGCCTGTTTGGGAACTACCTGCTTCTGCTGGTTGCACACTCCAATTCTAGTGTTTACCTGATCTCACATGTGCATTTCTGTCCAAGATGCTGCACTAGGAAGAAACCATTATTCATATTACCAACAGTAGTAGGAGTTTTACACCTAGAAGCTAAAACCTTTCTGTGTTACACACTGTATACACACATAACAAAGACACAGGGCTAAATCCTATTTTCCCTTTATGTCCTGAAGTGGCACTCATAGCCATGTAACTGCAGTATTTGGTACTTCTGAACAGTTTGGATTCTATTTGCACTAGTATAGCTATGCTTGCCCTACATTTCCAGTCTAAACACACACAGAAGGCTGCAGTCTGGCAGCAAAGGCTCCCAGATGAAATAGAACTGCTCAAGTATACATATTACCCCAGGTATGTTCCCAAACTCTAATTGCAGAAAAATGGGGAGGGAGTCCTCTCCACACTTTTATCCCAGGTACCTAGTGATAAAGGGCACTTGCCCAAGGAATAGGAAATCTCCTGCTTTCCAGCTAAGTGATCCCCCCTTCCAAGCCATGAGCTGAGCACTTACCCGGGGAACTCTCTAACCCTCCTCCTGAAGTTGGTCAGCCAGGAGGGAAAGATCTGGAGGGCCAGAAGCAGGAGGAGAACAACCTAAAAGAAGGGGGTTCAGTGAGCTAGACACTGCTCTAGAAAGAGGAGACTGTGGTCACTGCCCCCTATGGGGCAAACTACTGCACCACTATTTATCTATTTTATCCAATGAATTTTAAATAAAAGGTACAGTGAAAAGACAAAGTGGGGAGAGGGAGGAGTAGCAGAGGCCAGAACCTAGACCCATCTCCATTCCAAGGCAGCTGCCGTCTCGCTGAGCCGAGCCATCTTTAGTCTCCTCCTCCTAGCCCCACATATCTCTCCTGACTGCCAGGTGTGCCAGCTTCAATAGGAGGGCTGGAAGGTACTTTGAGTAATGATAAACCCATGGCTTGGTGGCTCCCAGCCTTTTGCTGGGAAGCAAAAGATGCAAATTCAGACCCTGTCTGAGTGAGGGGAGTCTAGAACTTACGCCCTCATCTCCAAGGCAAGTGTCCTCTGCACTAGGCCACTGGTCTAAATGGTGGGAACTCTGCCACCCCTTGGTTTCACTTTCAGCAGATATGTCCATACCTGCGTGATTCTACTCCATACAAGCAAAATCCAAACTGTGTGCAAGTACCAAGAATTGTAGTTAACCAGCTACGCAAATGCAACATAGGCATAAAGAGTGAAATTGGGTTTAGCCCACAATTTTGACCTCAAAGAGCACACTATCCTAGTGTGAGAGTATAAACAACTGAAGGCACCAGCCTCTACCTGAAGGACACCACTGAAGCCCCCAGTCCTGCTTTGAGCCCAGCATGGGCTGGTGTATACATGCCCAGCTGTAATCAATGAAGTTCTGCCTGCCTACAGGGGCTGCCCACTAGAGCTCGTGGGATCAGAGCCTATGTTTAGGAACTTCTCTAGGAAACCATGTTGTAGGCAAGAAGAATAGCTCTGAAGACATCCTTCTTCAGTGTGGCCTGAATTGACCAGTTATCTCTGCTAGGGAATAGACTAAATAGATTGGAATTTTTATCTGGCAGACAATATGGGCAGCCAAGGAGCACCCTTCTCTACAGCTGGCTAAATATTCAAGGTGGTGGCAAGTGTGAG